TGTGTGTGTGTGTGTGTGTGTGTGTGTGTGTGTGTGTGTTTTTTATCCGGGTGTGTGATGGAGGGAATGCAGCAGCGCGCGCATCAGCGAGTGTGTAAGTGACGCTCAAAAGGCGTTTATTTGCAGGAATGGAAAGTGCTAAAATTAGAAGATGTTGCTGGACAATAAGTTTGAGCTAAAAGTGTCCCGCTGTCTGTGGGAGCCAGCTGTGTTTGAAACCATGAAGGGAAGGTTAGCTCAGGTTTTAATCAGAGGATGTTTTAAAGCAGAGATTTGTTCTCTCTCCTGCGTTTAGGTTCTGAATAATAATATAATTATTCAGAATGCTGTGAGGCTGAAATATTTTTACTTCATCTGCAGAGAAGATAAATTTTAAAGTTTGTTTGGGTTAATTAAGTCTTTGGTCTGTTGTTCTTGTGGGTAAAATGTTATTTTTTCTTAAGTTTTTATTTTATTTAGTTTTATTGCCATAACCATGTTCAGCTGTACAGCTTCTATTTTTTAAAATCAGTTTCTTAACTGAGCTCAGAGTTTAGTTGTCAGCTTTCTGCTGTGATTCGTTGCTGTGTTCAGATGCGGCTCCGCAGCCATCGTCTGATCTTCTGCCTGCTGCCCATCATCCTGCAATGCAACGTCCTTGGAGTCCAACAGCAGCCGGCTCAGGTCAAGACACAGAAACACACATTTCTAAAAGAGGAACCAGAACTAAACCAAACTAACCTCAAGTTAGTGTCTGAAACATTAGAATCAGGGCGTTAGTACAGGGTTCATCCTCCAACCAGGGGGTTGGCAGTTCCATTAGCAGGTCAGCAGAATTGCACCGAGGAATCTCACCTTCCCAAGGTTAATTTTATGGCTAAAATTTTAGATATCCTCTAAAATTATCCACAAACAGACGTTTCACAGAATAATCTGTTAATAGGTGAACCATGAAAAGGCAGTGGTGCGCTGAACTTATCAGACATTTCTAGGCAGCTAAACCAATACTGTTGTACACACTGAGAGGTCTGTAAGGTATCCTTCAAAAAAGACCTGTAATGTTTCAATTAAGACATAAGATTTCACTTGTCATTATGTTGGTAGAACATTTAAAAGAAACCAGTGATGCCCTTGATTAAAAAATATAAAGCAGACAGATGGGGAAATAGATGCATACATAGAGCTGGGACGTTGCCATCCATAAATCTGATGTACAGGCAACATCTTGTGCATCCACAACTAAAAATAAATAACATACCTGTTTAAATTTACTGATATACAGATCTTTTTAATCTGTATTTTATGTTTATGTCTTTAAATTATAGAGATTTTTAAAATGATGTAGAAATGCCATGGAAAGGTTCAAATAAGTACAAAAAGCATAACACAGGTTTGTCAAGCAAAAACATTTCTTGACATGTGAAAATGCCTCCACAATGCATAATATCTGTTATTAAGTGCCATAAAATATAATCAAATCCTGAAAATGTAAATGTCCTCACAAACCAGCTGGTCCCCATAAGGAAGGCATATTTTCATGAATCAGAAAAATCTTCAAAAAGTGAAATAAACTCAAACAGATTCTCAAATAGGACTGTAAAAATTGTCTCAGTATCTCTTAGTGTGGCTCATCCTCACTTTAGTATTTGGAAAGCCACATTTTCCATAAAGTGCGTTTAATTGACCGATAAGACAGAAGATCGGCAGGTCGGCTCCTCCTGGGGGCCAAAGCAAGCAGCTCCTCCTGGGTGCTGATATCAGATGGTGTGAAGCAGCAGGAAGAAAAGCAGAAATCTGTTTTCTCGTCAGTCTATTTTATACCAGACCTGCTGGAGTCTGTAAAGACGAACAGGCAGAGAGGTGGTCAGAAGCTAACTCACACTACCACAAAACCAAAGCCTTTCAGGAGGAGCTGGAGGCTTTTTCCATCCTTAACCCCCCCAACCCTCCAATATAAAATTTAGGTTTTTAACTAACTATTCAATTAGCAAGCTAAATATGTAGTTTGCTAATTAAATATTTAGCTTCAAAATAGTTAGCTTGTACATACCTACATATTTAATTTGAAGTTAAATATTTAGCATCTACATTCAACATTTAGCTTCCCAGCCAAATATTTAGGTGGAAACTAAAATTTAAACTTATAACTACATACTTAGTGTAACTACATATCCAGCTTTAATCTAAAGATCAATATTTATTTTGCTAACTAAATCCATCCATCCATTTTCTGTATATCCTTTAGCCCTGCTAACTAAATATATCTTGATAATTAAATGTTTATTTTGTAACTGTGACATTTATAAATGAATTAATTACATGGTGTATTACTAACTTAATAACCAGTTATTTTGCTGTTAATTTCTGTGTTTGCAAACAGCAGCCGGGGATTTTCTGATGTTCTCTGCCTCTTGCTGTCCCTCAATCCACATTAATCAGGAACTTTTCAGAGGGAAGATTATTTAGTTGCAACCTATTAGTTAGACTCTGCAGGAAAATATTGATCCTCAGAAACTCAAAGCAGATTATTTATATTCAGACCGTAAACTACTTGGACATTTTATTTTTTTAGGACATACTCTATTCCATTTGATCCTCTGGAAATTTAAATTGTTATTCAACCCGAATTAATTCAGTAGAAAATAAACTTTTTCTGTCATGTCGGTTTTATTTCTTCTCTGCTAGTTCAAAAGAAAGGTTTCAAGCTAAACAGTTGTTGTTCCTTTTAATTTAATCAACCCTTTTCCAGCACATAGACCGGCCCGGGCTGAGGACGCTGGCCGTCCTGTGGCGCCATCCAGGAAGGATGAAGCCCAGACTGGAGCTCAGCGCCAAACTCCTCCGAACAGACGACCTGATGATGATGGAGAATGACGTGACCGAGCCCCAGAGGAAGAGGAGTTTCCCTGGGAACAACGCCCCGCTGGACCGGCTGTCCATGGGCTCCATGGAAACCAGACAGGGCAAGAAGAAGCAGAGGTAGGACTCACCTTTCCCAGGTGAATTCAACAGAACCACCGGCAGGTGAAGGAAGTTTCTCCTTCCACTTGTCTTGACGCCCGTATTTTCTTCCCAGCAAGGTGGCGGAGTCGCCACGGCGACGAAGCAATCCGCCTCCCATCGACCGAGTCGGAATGAGCCGTCTACCGACAACTCGAGGATAGCGAGGACACCCTCATCTGGACAGGTGAGGAACTGCACATGACTGTGTCTATTCAGTAATAAATGTCAACAAAACTAATTTTAATCAGGAATCCATTGTCATCTCTCTTCAGTCGAGTCTCTGCATAAATATCAGCCACCCCCCTGCTGAGCCACGACGACTGGTCACCTGACTGGAAGCGAAACGTCCGACAGACTGGAGCTTTCTGCTCAAGTCTCTTTTTTGTGCTGCAGCCGCGCAGCAGGACGCATTTCTGCTGCAACACAGAAACACACCGATGGGAGGCTGGAGCCGGTTTACACTACAACGACGAAGCTTGTTTGTTCACCAGGCGATGTTAAATCTGCCAAACAATTCTTGACAGATTTTTTTTATTTTCTCTTATCAAATAAAGTAAAAATGTATGTAAATTCAGAAGTGTCATCTGAAAAAGTAGAAAACCACATTAATGGATGTTTAACTTTTATTTGAAACAGTTTTCACATAGTCTTCTATTCTCTGAGAAACAATAATTTTTACTCCATTTATTTTAAAATATACGATGAAAAGATGATTTTCTGTATCTTGTCACCACCATGTGAAATTCAGAAATGTAAACTGTATAAACTGAAAGTCACACTGCATAGCATTTTAAACTTTATCACGTCTTTAAAGAGTAACTAAACCGAAAATCAACTTGTTTTGCATTTAAACTGTCTAAATTATTTGTGTTTTAGTCCAAATGTTTGAATTATGTAGATTTGCTTACTTCTGCAATAGTGGCCTAAATCTGTCTCAGTTCTGCCCTCCTTGGGTTGAACGGTGGTACTGCACTTGAGTTTTCCTATTGGTTACATCAGTTCGGTTGATGCTTGGCTGGAGCTATAATCCAGTTTTCCTCATTTTAAAAACCTTCCTGTTAAAATTGAAAAGGATTTTCAAATGTTTTTTCTCTGCCTGTGTTTAAATGTACATAATTAAGACAAAAAGTAAAGAGTCATCCGTTTGGGTTATTTGTCGACCAAACATTGAAAAGGATTTTGCACATCCAGTTTTTAAATCATCACCTTCTTAAAAATACTGACCTGTTTCATCTTTTTCCAAAAGCGATTTTTGTGCAAAAAATAAAATAAAAAATCACGTGGCAAAAATGGACAAAATTCATTTAGGCTTGGTTGGACAAATGTTCTCTCAGTTTCAGAAACAAGATTTGAGTCACGCTCTTTCAAAATGCTTGCTTTATTGTATTTAATATATTAAATAAAAGCACAAAGCCTGTAAAAGTTTCAGTTACTCTAAATGAAGGCTAAAAGACTGAATCAGGCGTTGCTAATGGCTAACAACCCAAACTAGTTCAACTTTGGCTGATATTGAAACAGTTTCAGGTTTAAAAGGTGTTACAGTTCCTGACGGTTTGCCAGCTGCTAAAGCTAACAGCCAACAGATGAAAAACGGACGGCTGGAGACGTCATGATGGAGAGTTTATTGAATTTGTTCAGAGAGCAGAAAAGTTTACAGCAGATAATCACATTCGTTAAGAAGCCCTTAGAGAGGCAGAGCTGGACCTGAGGAGGGAGGGCTGAGATGGTTCAGGAAAACCACCTTAAAACAAAACCACAAAGAAGAAATCCTAAAAAAACTAAAGACTGAGACTGGATCAGAGTGGCATCCGGTTTCCTTCCACGCTGATCTTCACAGCGTGACCAGTCTTCGTCAGCCGCCGGATGTCCGCAAACCTACGCATCTGTTTATCGACCCGGGACAAACCCTTCTTCACCGGCCCCTGCAAGAGAAAGACAGGAAGCAACAAGCTTAGCTTTCAAAATAAGAGCATCACCATAGCTCTGAACAGGGTTCCTACACAGTTTTCAGGGAAAAGTTCCAGATTTTCCCAAATTTACAGTTATCCATCTGTAAATTCACTATAAACTCGACTTGGCCTAAAATTTGGATGCAAACATCGAGACCGAAAGAAAAAGAAAATAGAAAGAAAGAACAAACAAAACAAAGAAGGAAAAAAGAATGAGAGAAAGACAGAAAGGCAGGAAGATAGATAAAAAGACAGGTAGAAAGTTAACAGAAAGAAAGACCAGAAGACGGAAACATGGAAAGAATGAAGACAGTGAATAAAAAGAAAGAGGAAAAAAAGAGAATGACAGAAAGACAACTGCCCCGTTTATCCGCTCTTCAGTAAAACCGTAACATTTAGTTGTGATCCAACCGCTCGTATTCATGTCTCCAGTGATTGGACTCTCTGACTCTGGTGATTTATGAAACCTGGTTTCAGAGTGGATCGTTTTGGGCGCGTCACCCCAGGAGGTGTGAAAGCACACACGTACAGAACGGACAGCTGCTGGGTTTGGTTTGTTCATGCATGAGCAAAAAAACAAAACCAACAGCGGCTAGCATCGCACTGCGAGCTGCTTAATGTGTTCAGTTTAACACAACTTGTTATATTAACATTGGTTCATTAGAGACGGGTTGCTGGTTTCTCAGGGAGATGGAAGTTGAGGGTCAAAAGCACATGAGGGTTTCAATGACATGCTAAAATCACAGCTCCATCTAGTGGCCTGGCATGGCAGCTACAGCAGATTCAAGGTGTCCAAATGTGGAACTTTTCCCCAATCAGCATCTGAACATACCAGCAGCTTCCAGACAGCGGCCTCCTTGAAACAAAGACTGATTGTGTGTAGGAACCATGTGTCTGGAGTTCTGATCGGATCAGAACCAGCAGCTTCTGTTAGTGGAATCAGCTCAGCTCTAATTGAAGCACAACCAGCAGTCAGACCAACCAGCCCTGAAGTGGTTGAAACTTCACTCATCGACCCGATTAGTTCTACGTAGCCGCTGCGCTCCACACCATGCAGACGGACTTACTGCCCCCTGCAGGCGAGCAGCCGCAGCTACAGCGGCATCCTGTTCCCCTCTATGCTGATCTTCACGGCTCCCTGCGGCCGCCGCAGCTTCCTCTGCTCGGCAAAGCGCCGCTTGTGCTTCTCCAGCAGGCTGATGGCTTTCTTATAGCCGCTCTACAGAGGACCAATCAGAGCTCAGCAGCACACCTCACCTGAGTCACATCGTAACAACCCGTAGGTGAGGTGTCGTCTCTGCTTCACGAGGTTCTGTCCTTCAGTGACGGGTTTTATTTTGATTTTAATGGTATAATCTATTTTATGTAAATTTCTACAAAGTACATAAGCAAACAGTTTAAACAATTAAAGAGAAGTTCCAGATCTAATTTTTACCCTCAACTGTTTGTATCCTTTAGAGATGAAGTGATTGTTTTATTCAAACTAAAATTATATTCCTCAACCAGATGAATGATTTTGAATTAAAGTAAAGACAAAAAAATAAAAACAATCTTAACCCAAAATGCAAAAAATATAAAAAAATTAATAAAAAAAAATTAATTTTGTCTAATATAAATTTAATGCCAGAATCAATCTGGTGTCTGCAGCAACAGAAACTGTAATAACTTACAATTAAAATGTATTTTCCAACTTTAATATGAAGTGTTCATATTTTAATTTTTTTCTTTTCAAAAACAGTATTTGAATAAAACATGAAGTTTTTGGTAATGACCATTAAATAACAGTCACTGAGAGAAAGGTTATACTTTTACTCAAATTTGCCTTTTAATTTCTAAAACTTTTAGTGAACATTGTTTTTTCAAAATGATCCAGAATAAATGCTTTTTAAACGGAAACTCACCCTGCTTGAATCCCCCTCCACGTTCCATTTGGGTCGGACCACATAGTCCTTGTTGGAGGGCATCGGCACCCGAGCCCGGGCGCAGAACCCGGGATCACCGGGTCGCAGAGCTCTGCAGGTCAGAAACATCGATAAGGTTCACGTCAACTTTAAAAAAAATCTGACTGATTGGTTACAATCTGTTTGAAATGAGTAAATTCAATTATATTCAAATTAAATACATCTAAATGAGAAGATTTATAAATTATAAAAAGTGAAAAAAATTAAAACAAAAACCTCAGTAAATTTAATAAAATGAAAAATGTATAAAATACATTTCAAAATAGAAAAGAATTTTACAACAAAATCAAAAAGACTTATTAAATGAATTTAAATATAAAACAAAATTCCTTAAAAATTACATGAATAAAAACACTATAAAATACCTAAAAATAATAAGATTAATTACAATAAAAAACAAAATAAAAAAATTATATCTATAAATAAATATATTATAATTAACATCAATATTAAAAGATTTTAAAATAAAAGTCTTAAAAATATATAACCCCCCACCCTGCCCCTAAAATTTCACCAATAAAAATTTTAATAAAAATTTTAAAAACAATTTGTAACAAAACAAAATATTAAACAATGTAGATAACATACAATTCCTAAAAAATATTTCATAATTATATTTATGGTAAAAATTGCATGATAAAAGTAAATAGTGATGAACTGACTTTTCCTCCCCGGTGAGCTGCTTCTCCAGGTCTCTGCGGGGCGTCTGACCTCCAGAGCTGCAGACCAACACAAACACAAGCTCTGCTGTAATATTCAGATTCAAGCCGCCACATCAGGGCTTCCTCCTAAAGCTCCATGCTGTTATCAGCAGGCTTCACCTCACTGCAGGTTAGTGAAGCCATCAGAACCTGGAGCCGGTTCCGATCCGATCGGCCTGCAGCAGAAACTCTGCATCACGTTTTAGTGTCACTGAGCTTCACACTCTGAGGTTTCTAACTGCTGAGCATGTTCCTGCCAGAAGGCCAGAAGGTTAAGATCAGATTGAGTCAGCCCCTCTGTGCAGCAGCGCCCCCTGCTGTCTACAGCTACAGACTGTTCATCTTAATTATTACAGGCTGTAAATCCAGAGTGCCGCCTGATCATCCATCTCTCTCAACACAAACATTCCTTATTTTATGGCTTCTGGATCTCCTCAAGTTCTGCGGCATCACTAACATTCATCTTCAGGCTGCAGCTGCACAGAGGAGCTGCAGCAGAAACACACGCAGCGCAAACATGCAGCATCTCTGGGACTGGACCTGGTCGGTGGAGAGAAGACGTCGGGTTCCTGCGCCCTCTCCACCTTCTGAGGCTCACTGAGGGAGGAAGGAGGACGAGGACGAGGAGGAGAGATGGATGAGAGGAAGAAACACACACACACACACACGTTCCTGTTTCCCTATGCTTTTATGTATTATTTTATACATAAAATAATTACAAAGAATATCAAATAGCTAAAAACTTTTGGATGGAAAGTGCAACATCTGGAGAAAGATGTGGTACTCTCCGTGACCGTTTCGTAAAAACAAACCGAGTGAGACTTCATAATTCAATTTGTTGTTTCTGTTATGTTATTTTGGATATCTAAAACTCAAACTTTAAATTCATCAAACTCCTAACCCATAAATTATGTTTCTACATTGTGTGAAAATGGCAAAATGTCCTCACAAATACACATGTCCTCACAGTTTTGGTTATTTAAGTAGGTCCTCATACGATAGCTAAACAAGTACAAGTACACACTCAAACACACAAGAAGGACAGATTTACCTCGCTGGGTTTCCCATTAAAAACATCTGACCAGCTGAAACCAGAACCTCCTGTCACATCATGTGACTACCTGTCAGAGTCGACTACCTGCTACTGCCAGTCAGAGATGTGTGTGTGTGTGTGTGAGTGATGGAGACCTTGAAAAAGCCTCAAAGCGATCTGGTTTAGTCAAAGTTTGAATCTTATTTCTGTTGCTACCTGAGCCGGCGTCTCTGAGGCGTCTGCTGGTCCAAATCCCTCTGCTGCCGCTCTTCCCTCGTCATTCCCTTGTAATTGGACGTCAGACCGAAGATCGGCCGCGACCATTCGTCTGGAAGGAAACGGACCAGAAACATGTCAGGAACGTCTGGACTTCCTGCAGCTGGACCAGAACCGGGTCAGGTCTTACTGATGAGCTTCAGCGCCAGGTCTTTGTTGGCCCGGGATTCTTTGGGATGCTTGTAGAGGAACATGACGGCCCGTCCGATCCCGCTGTGCTTCAGCGTCTCCTGGCTGACGTTGGGGAGCTGCAGGAGGACAACGGGACGTTACTGGGGTCCAGAAGACGTTCAGTCTGTCCCCAGTCCGTCCCCACTTCCAGTGCCAAGTGGTCTTTAGAAATTATTTTAGTGGTCTTTGAGGGTGTATTTGCATTGTTATGTTATTTTCATGAAATTAGTCAACAGTGGCCTCAAGCAACAATATTACCGTTTATCGCAATAATTTCTGGTGCAATTAATTGTCGTGACAAGCCTGATAATGAATACTCAGAAGACAGCTTCCAAAACATGTATTCAATTATTGTTGAACAACCACTGACGGGAGTTTTCTCCCAACTGTTGCCGTCGCCATTTTGCCAACGTTTTGCATAAGGATGACCATGGAGCGCCGTAATATGCAGACAGAAACTGCTGAATTCACATCAGTTTGAAAGGCTAATAAACAGAATCATAAAATGAAAAACTGATGGATACATCTAAAATTTCAGTACGTTTCAGTTTTATAAATGAATGATATAGATCCAGTTAGTTTTCCCATTTTTATTTATTTCAGTTAAAAATATTTTCTCGGTTTTTGTTATTTTTAATTATAATAACATATAATATCCCAGCCCCTCCTACCTCTTGCAGGATCCGCAGCAGCTCCTCTCTGATCCGCAGCGCTGGCAGCGATTTGTCGGGCAGAGGGCTGATCCACTCCTTGATGGCCGACATCACGCCGCTGTCAATGAACGTCTCCTTCAGATCCTGCCTGATGGACAGAGAGGACGGTCGTCAGACTGGACTGGGTCAGTTCTGGTTCTGAGGTCCAAACGGAGCGGACAGAAACTCACTTCTTGAGGTGCATGACGACCTGCGGCAGCAGCGTGAGCTTCTTCAGCGCCGGCTTCTTCTGGCTGTTCAGAGTCCGGTCCTCCTGGTCAACAAACAGGAGTCAGCAGCTCGGCTTTTATTGTGAAAGGATGGCAGACGAAACTAAACCTGCCAGGCTTTTATTGTGAAAGGCTAACCTCTGCGGCCTCGTTCATCTTAATGATCATGGCGCTCACGACATCGTCGGCATCGCTGATGAATGTTCCTCCGTCTCGGTGCCTCCTCTTCCGGCTGTTCATGGCTTTCCTTTTGGCTAGCATGATGTCAAAGTCAGACATGAAGCTGGTGCTGAGCACACACACACACACACACACACACACACACACACACACACACACACACACACACACACACACACACACACACACACACAGAGGTTTAGCACCCTGCTGGGTCCACGCAGCACCGGCCACCTTATGGGGACACCTACTCCTGGCCACTGCGGTCCACTCCTTCGTCGGAGTCGGACTCATCGGCCGCTTTCTGCTGCTGCTTCGGCTGCTTGCTGGCAGCCTCCAGCTCCTCCTGGTTGAAGCCCTGCAGGAGGAAGAGGAGGATGAAGAGGAGCCGATTCCCGATTGGTTCCAGCTCCAACAGCGGTAACTTACTGTGAACTCCTCCTCTTCCTCATCTCCAGACTCTCCGAAAATGTCTGCGATCATTTTCCTGCAACACATTTAACTCTGGGTCAGCTGCAGTTCCGCTTCCTGCCAGCAGGAGTCAGTGGTCAAACTCACTCCTCTTCGTCGTCCTCGCCGGAGTCGCTGTCGCTGCCGAATAGCGCCTTCTCGTCCTTCTTTACCGCCGTGGGTTTGGACCGCTCCTCTTCGTCGCTGCCGCTGTCTGACCCAAGCTCCCTCAGCTTGGCCGCCAGGCTTCGATCCGGGCCGACTGAGCCGTCGCCGCTGCCCGAGTTCTCGTCGTCGTCGGAAACCGCCCGGCTCCTCTTTGCCGCTGAGACACGAGGAAGTGGACAGATGAAATGACTGGATCGGTTCTAGAGCTCTGGGATAATGAACCGGGTCAGAACAGAACATCAGGCTGACTCACCTGGTTTGTCTTCCTTCTCTTCATCCTCGTCTTCACTGTCAGACAAGATGGCCTTCTTCCTCTTCACTGCAGAAACGCATAAAGAGAACCTCAGAACCACCACAGAAACCCGATTCAGATGGTCCAGAACCAGTAATTGTATACACACACGCATACACACATATTTATATATGTATATAAATAAACACACTGGAAGACTACTGTTGGGTTCAAGTTGTGCTAAAAGGAGTTAGCCTAATAGTGAAGCTATGCTATCCTATGTAGCATTTGAATGCTAAACATGCTAATGTTAGCGTCCATATTTCTAAAGAAGCCCAGAATGATCCAGGCTTCCTGAAACACTTCGCTCCAATCTGATGGCTGAAGAACCTGAAGAGTAAAATCTGTAAATAAATCTGGTTTTGAGCTCATGTGGAATGTATGACAGAGACGGAGCTGATTGGACCGAAGGACAGGAAGTCTATGCAGCATAGTGGTGGCAGCATGATGATGTGGGATGTGATAAACCCCTTTAGATCAGTTCTGGCTCTGATGTCTCTACCTGGTTTGTCGTCCTCTTCCTCGCTGTCATCTCTCTGTTGCTTCTTCTCTTCCTCGTGCTGCTCTTCATCACTTCCTGTTGTAGCCTTCTTCCTCTGCCCCTCGTCTTCCTCATCCTCACTGTCGGATTGCATCACACCCTTCCACCTCCCTTCCCCGGCCCCTTCCTCTTCCTCCTGTTTACCCTCATCTTCCTCGTCAGAGTCCATCGGCGCCGCCTGGCGTCTGGCGGGCGGCTCTGTGTCAGAGTCACTGTCTGAGTGTTGCCGTGGAGGCGACGCTGGCGCCGGTTTGTCCTCTTCGTTGTCGGAGTCGCTGCGGGCGCCATCTCCTCCGGGGGCGTCCTCCAGCTCAGAGCTGCTTCCTCGGCGCTTGGCGGGGGACGACACGTCCTCCTCCTCTTCCTCGTTGTCGGACGCTCCCCGTTTGACCGGAGACGACGCCTCGTCCTCTGAGCCGCTCGGCCGTCTCTTCGTTGGCGATTCCTCCTCTTCCTCATCCGACGCGCTTGCCCTGTGTTTTGCCGGAGAGTCTTCATCTTCGCTGTCACCAGGCCGATGAGGCTCCGCCTCCGAGTCGCTCTTGTCTCGGCGGCCCCTGGGAGCCTCGTCCTCTGAGTCGCTGTCGGCCCGGCGCCGGTCCTCTGCGTCCGAGCTGTTGGCTGCCCCGCCCGTTTCCATGGCAATGGCAGCGTCTTCGTCGTTGCTGCCGTCGTCCTGCAGAGAGCAGAACGTCAACGCACCAACCGACATTAAACAGCAGAAGAAGAATCAGCCAGCAGGTCAAGCTCAGACTGCACTACTTTCTCCTACTACTCTCCACTTACGTTTTATCATTACTGCATTTTCTGCACTTTGTTGTCATTAGATGCTGACGTTACGCATGGCTGGAATAAACAGGAAGTAGAGATGGAGGTTCTAGTCTGACAGACCCACCAGCGTCTGGGAGCGTTCGCTTCGTCAGAACTTATTCAGCAGATGTGTTTCTATCTCCATTTTAGCGCATTAACTTTTTCTCAGAAAAGCCAAAAACTGCCTCATGTGAGGTTAAAAAAACAACAACTTTGTTTTGCAAAATGGCTGAAGTTATTTTGAATTACCATCAACTTATTCTAATGTAATATTTCAAAATGTGCATTAAAAAAACGCACTGGAAACGCATCTGGTTCCCTGGTTGGAATCAACCAGGACATTAATAACTCATAACTAATCACCGGTTCTGACCTCCGACTGCCGGCCGTCGCTCCTCATCTCCTCGCCGTCGGATTGAGGATGCTCATCCTGAACCGGAGTCCCGCCCCCATCGTCTGGAGACAAACGGAAGAAAAAATCTTCAGCATCAAACAAACTCAGAGATTAAAACTTCACATGTTCCAGAAACAGCAGCTCCACTCAGAGAGAGCCAAGGATGATGCTCCTTCATCACAACAATAATGAGACATTCTGAAAGAATCTGGTCTGATTAGATGTTCAACTCTCTGAAGACCTGAAGTTTACCGACTGAAGTTTACCGCTGATTAAATCTGCAGCACAAACCAACGTTTCAAGAGTTCAGGAGATTTTCCTGTCCAAATGATTCATGGATCAACAACAAAGTATCTTCAGTTAGAAACTTCCTCAAATTAGCTGTAATACAGACTGCTACAGGAGATCCTTCCTCCCAACAGCAATCAGCATCAACAATAACTTTTTGAAGAACCTTGAATTAAATGAGTTACAGCAGCTTTTAATTTTCCTTTGGAATCAATAAAGCATTTCTGAATTTGAATCAAACTCTTCTGTTGACAACAGAAGAGAAACGAAAGAGAAGATCAGCTAGAACCAACAGCTGAACAGATCTAAACACGATCTTAGTGGCCTGAGGAGAAACAATCATGGCTGGAGCCTCACAGTCAGTGATGCTGTGGGCTAGAGGTCAGAGGTCAGCCAAGATGTGAACGGATCTCCTTCCAGAATGACCCAGGCTCTGCTGAGCAGCAGATTTCAGACATGAACCGCTGATTTAGTGAAACCAAGCTCCATCAGAACCGGAGCAGCTAACTGAACGTAGAACCGGGTCCAAACTTCAGGACCGATACTGAGGAACCGGGATGAACCCCGGAAAACACCGAAAACGAAAAGCGTTTTATGGGCGAGCTCTTAGTTTGTCAGCCGGGAAACAAAGCGCATTTACCGGACATAAATTCCTCCTCTCCTCCGTCCATCTCTCAGACGAAGACAGACTCCGGTTCCGACCTTATTGGACGGACTGGTACCGCTTTACTGGTTTTTAGTACCGCAGCTGGAGGGAAACCGAAAACCCAACAGAGAAGAGTAAACAAAACGCACATACACCAGAAGCTAGCTGCCGTTAGCACACCGAGAACCAAAATGGCGGAACTACCACCATCTGCGCATGTGTGATGGATTACGTAATTTAGTTCTGTTCTTTTGGTGCTTCATGGTGAACCGCAAACAAGCATTAATGTGTCGTTCCGCCACCTATAGACCTGGAGGAGAAGCAGTGAAAAAAACAACAACTGTTTTTCACATTTTTTAAATTCGTGTTGATGTTTTCCCAATTATTAATTATTAATCAGTTCCAAAAAAAATAAATAAATAAAATAAATAAATATTAAATTTACAATTGATAAGATTTAAAGTGAAGGTCAGATTAAGTTATTTTTGAAAAATACAAACTTAAAAGAGATAAGTTTATGATTGTGTCTAAAGGCCATTGTAGACATAAAAAATTAGCAAATTTCCACCAAGAAACTCAGAAATTTTGAGATGAATCTCAGAATATTTCTGGAAAGGTTTCCAGTTTTCAAAGTCGACTTTTGAAACTCAGAAAATGTAATGTTTTTTTCAAGGAAATTTTAGGAATTAATCTCAAAATTTCTAAATTTTTTATAGCAAGTTTTAGACTTTTCAAGCTCAGAAATATCTGTTTTTTTCTAGAACATTTCTGATAATAATCGTATTTTTTTTTTTTTTTGTGGAAATTTACTCTGTGGTTTCTATCTAAGTTGGCCGTAACTTGCCGTCGTAGAATTTAGTTTGTTAATACAAAGTTGAATAATTAATTTGATTTCACATTATGAGGTTTTAAGTGTTTATCTCCAGTTTGGTAGGTGGCGGTAGGGCGCCATCACAGTTGCAATGCACCACCGTAAAACAAAGCAAGAAGAAGAAGAACACAACATAGTGACGTATTTTCTCGTCGCCTCAGCAGCTCCACGTGCGTTCAGTTAGATTCTGGTTCTGTTCGGGTTCCGGCTGGTGTCAGCCCGCTGTGATGGAGGAGCGCAGTAGACTGTGTTCCGTGTGGCTCGGGTCCGAGACCGGGATCCTGAAGGGGGTCAGTTTGGACCGGAAGCAGGCCTTTAACTTCTCCAACACGCGCACGCTGACCCGCGACCAGGAGGTGCGCGCGCTGTGCTGGGCCGACCCGGCGGAGAGCGAGCTGCTGCTGGGCTGCGCGGACGGAACCGTGCGGACCTTCAGCACCGAGAAGGGCATCTTCACCGAGGCCCGGAGCTGCGGAGACCCGCAGGAGGGCTGCTTCAGCGGACTGGCCTCACTGCGGGGTTCCGCCATCATCACCTGCGCGGAGTGCGGTAAACTGCGGGTGTGGCGGGAGGACGGCAGCGGGCCGGTGGCCGAGCTGGACGCGGGCAGCAGCGTGTGCCGGATGCGGCAGAGCCCGGTGGACCCGAACCGGGTGGCGACGGGCGGGAAGGAGAACGGGCTGAAGATCTGGGACCTGGAGCGGCCTGAGAAGCCGCTGTTCACCGCGAAGAACCTGCGGGACGACTGGCTGGATCTACGGAGGCCGCACTGGGTCAGAGACATCGGCTTCATCCCGGACTCCGACAAGGTGGTCACCTGCACGGGGTACCATCAGGTAACTGCTTCCGGTTGTCTCACCTGTCTTAGGTTACATCAGTTTTTACACCTGTGAAGCAGACTGCTCAGTCTGCTGGTGACGTCCGCACGACGTCACTTGTTAATGTAAACAAAGTGGAGACGTGGAGCAGCTGCTCAGGTGAACCAGCTGGAGGCAGAAAGGATCAAATCTGCTTTGAATCTTTCATTCTTTACTCATTAAACTGTTAGAACAACAAGTGATTATAACTACTGACATTAAAATAATAAATATCTACAAAAATCAGAGATTAAACCGATTATAACACCAGTTACACCAGTTTAAGGTCCAGCTGAGTTCTGGATGTTCTGATCCACACTTTGGACAGGTCCAGAACTTTCTACAGTGATTGTTTAATGATTAAGATGTAATATTGGAACCAGGTTAAGAATACAAAAAAAATCTGAATTATAAGATTAAAGTTGTAATAATTAAGTTTTAAAATGAGCAGAATAAAGATTGTCTTCATAATTCAGGAATAAAGCCGTAATAACACGAGTCGTAAAATTAAAAATAACTTGGTAGCAATGTGAGAAAAAAATGTGATAGTACATAAACAAACTTGATAACACAAGAATAATTTCATAATACCAGAATAAAGTCAAAACAATACAAATAAAATATGAAAGTAAAGTTGTAATTTTCCAAGAAGAGGAATAATTAAAATGAGGATTATTGAGGACAAAGTGAAGTTCTACTTTAGTACGAGTGAAATAACATTAAATGTTTTGTCCTCAGGTTGGTCAGCAGCAGGACTGATCTGCTCAGATCCTGAAACCATCAAACAAAAAACAACCAAAGTCTTTAATTTAGTTTCTCTACATTTTCCTGTTTTCTTTTGTGGCTCCATTTCAGTATCAAAGATTAAAATGAGCCAGTTGGTGAACTGGGCTGAACTGGGTCAAAGGTGGTGGGGCAGCTGCAGTTACCGCGCGTTTCCACGCGAGGGCGCCAGAGCAGCTGGATTAATATCAGGTTTCGCTCTAAATGCATAAATATTAACATGTTCTCTTCCTCTGATATAAAACTTGAGATAAAATAAACACATTGGACTCAAAGTTAATTAAATACAGTTAATAATAATCTTGTTACAAATTTTGCAAACTTCCCCCATTTGGATTGCATTTAAACAAAATATGTTTATTCTCTTTATTGCTAAAACATTTATCTTCTAATGCCAGAAAACTTTTTATTTTCCTTTCAGAGTGAATCTTAAACTCTTACATTATTTACATTCATCACTGTTCTTCCCTCGTCTTTTATTTTCTCAATTAGCTCATTTTCTCTTCAGATGTTAAAATAGATTTGCATGTAAAATATCAAGATATCTTTACTACCACTTTTGTATACATTTCCCATTCCTTTATTCAAAATGTATTATCTAAATTGAATACGTTTGGAGGTATAAGCTGTCTCAGTTTGAATTTTTGATATTTTGTCATTATGTGTTGGAGCTGGACGATAAATTAATAACAGTGTGTATCGTGATAGAGTGATAGACGCGCATCAATAGATGACATGCCTGATGGAATATTCAATCATTTTTATAAACTCCGGAACAGCACAGCATTCTGGGAGATGAAGGCCGTGAAGACGGCCTGAAGGCAGCGAGACGGGTTCCTGCTGGGAGCCGAATATCGTCTGCACTGAGTTTTCTGTTCATCATAAGACACAATTCATCAGACATTGTCCAACTGCTGGAGAAATATTTAACAACGTCATTGACTAGGAGAAAAAAGATCGAATGTTTAGAAAAATCAGTAAGAAAGGCAAGATTGTGCCCTGAGCGCAACGGTGGACGTTCATACAGGAAGTGTTGCTACAGTTCCAGAAAGAACCAACCGATAAAGTTTGTGTCAAAGTCAGGACGCTTGAGGACGGTGACCCAGAAACAAAAGAAACCAAGTAATTCATCACAGGAGATGCAGCCGGGCGAGGCGGAGAAAAGTAAAAAAAACAATAGTTGAGATGGAAAAGAGAGAAAAACAGGCGAAACAAACTAAAAACGAATCAATAATTATTGATATTGACTTTTGTCCAGCAAAATGCCTGACAGTAAAGGCCAAACACCTTTTAAATGGGGTTCATTCATTCTCCTCAATTTCCCCCACATGTGGTTTGGATTTATCGTTCATGATGTTCTGTAAATGTTATTAAAATAAAAACAAACCTCCATAAGTGTGAGGGTTCCAGCAGCGGCGCTGTTGGGTCGGAACAGGAAGTGATGTCAGCTGACGCATCCTGTCGTTCTCAGGTTCACGTGTTTGACCCGGCGACCCCCCAGCGGCGGCCCGTCCTGGAGGCGGAGTTCGGCGAGTATCCGCTGACGGCGCTGGCGTTGACGGCCGGCGGCGGCGCCGTGGTGGTGGGCAACACGCAGGGCGACGTGGCGGTGCTGGACCTCAGGAAGGGGCTGGTCCGCGGGCGCCTGAAGGGCGCGGCGGGCGGCGTGCGCGCCCTGCAGTGCCACGCCTCCCAGCCGCTGGTGGCGTCCTGCGGCCTGGACCGCTTCCTGCGGGTCCACAGCCTGGAGGATCGGCGGCCGCTGCATCGCGTGTACCTCAAGTCGCGGCTCACCTGCCTCCTGCTGGCCAGCCGGGAACTGCAGGCCGGGCCGGGGGGCGGGGCCACGGAGGGGGCGGAGCCTCAGGTGAAGGAGGAGGAGGAGGACGAGGTGTGGGACAGGATGGAGCGGGTGGAGGAGGAGGAAGAGGCGACCAAGAGGAAACCAGCAGCAGGAGAGGAGGAGGTGAAGAAGAAGAAGAAAGGAGGAAACTGAGAGGCGTTCAGGGTGTGGGGAGAGCGTGGGAAATCTGACTGAATGTAGACATTTCACCATCTGAACGCCTCGTCAGTTCTGTTCTGCCTGGGTTCTTCCTCTGCTGTCGGGTCAGATTCTGTAACTAATTTAATAAATTTACCTTTTTATAAAAGAAACTGAATTTTGTTTCTCTTCAATCTGCTGAATAAAAAATCAGAGTCGAGAGAAAAGTTCTGGTTTCGGATCAGCTGCGAAGTTTTCTGTTGCTTTGTTTGTCAACACATAAAAACCCGACCGTACAGCAGGCGCCGATTAAGTTACACAAAGATTAATAATTTGGTTCTTTTAGCCTGTCACAAGAGGAAAACATGGATCAGTCATTCTTTCACCTTATCGTCCTTTGATGAATATCAGTTTTGTTGGCAAGCTAAATATTTAACTAGCTAAATATGAGTTAAATGTTTAGCTTTCAAGCAAAAAAACAACAACAAATTAGCTTCAAACTAAATATTTAACCAGCTCAAATAAAATATTTGGCTTGCTAGCTAAGTATTTAGCTTGTTAGCAAAAATATTTTGCTACAAGTTAAATATTTAGCTTGCTGGCCTAATGTACTTTGGAGCTAAATATCTGGCTTAAAACTAAATATTTCCGTTGCGAACTAAAATGTAAGTTTGAAACCGACTTAAATGAGTAACCTGGTGAAAACATGAGTTTGAAAAACGAGCCCGTCTTTAGCTGTTGGTGGGTTAGCCGGATCGCGGTTCCACCGGAAATGAGGGAAGGGAAAGTTCTGGTTGACCCGCTGCGACGTTCAGGTTCTGTTCAGGTCAGAAACTGGACCTGAAATGTTCTGCGGGCTGACCCAGAAGAACGGCGTCTTCTGCTTTTTATCAATACAGATTTGTCTGTCAGGTTATTAAGCCTCCTGCTTCTGGACCCGGCCCGGCGGTTCCGAGCCGGTCTCACATGACTTCAGTGGGTCAGATGGAGGTTCTGCTGAGCTCATTTGTTTTCCCGGTCCCAGAGGCTTTCAAACATGCAGAACGGGTCCAGAGAAAATGAAACTCTGGCTTCACTGCGACGTTACCAGTTTAGTTTCAAACACATTTATGACCCAGAAAACCTGTGATGGTTTTTTAATGAACTGTTTTCAGATCCTTGATTTAAAACTATTTTATTTATCCAATCTAAATGTTCCCCTTTGGGAAAATATTCCTTTTAGGATCCTTACTTCTATGGGCAAACTACATATTTACTTAGCAAGCAAAACAACTAGCTTGAAATCATAACAGTTACAAATGAATGAATAATACGGTGAAAATATTTCTTTGTAAAATGAATCTGCATGTTTTGCTCTGATGGGCCAAACAAGCCAAACTATTGGTGTTCATTTCCCCCATAATGCCCTTCTGCTTCTCCAGCCTTCCTATGGCGTCAGCATCGTCTGAAACAGGATCGAAACCGAAGGCAGTGGGTCAGTCAGGATTTCTCTTCTGCTGCTTTAAGCCACTAAAAATGAAACCACAAAGCAGAAGTGATGAAACCTGTGATGCTTCACCAGGAAGGAAGAACCAATCTGCCAGATTCTTCCTGCTCTGGCAGTTCACACAGTGACCGCTGCTGCCCATCAGGGGTCAAAGGTCATCTCCCATCCCACCTGAAGTCCATCATTCTGCAGAGACTCCACAGCCAATTCATCCCTGCTTCTAGTTTCCATTTCTTCATCTGGTTTCTTTTTCCTCTGGTAACAAAACCATAATCTGGATTATTCTGGGTCATGTGGCTGCAGGAAGCTGCAGCTGTGGCGAAATGCGCCTGAACTTTGATCGCAGAGGGGAAGCGAAAAGAGAAACTGATGAAGACACCATGTAACGAGCTTCAGAAAGCTGCAGCAGTAAAACCTGCAGAAGGCCATAAAGCTGGCAGATATGACAGGCCAGCTACAGAGCTACATTAGGGCCACAAAGTTTGTTGAAAAATTAGTTTTGAAACTAAAAAAAATAAAATAAATTGAGAGATAATTTCAAATCTCATGAAAGTTTTTTTTTAAATTACTTTGAAACGTTTTTTAGAAAACTGAAAAAAATAACTTTTAATCTCACATTTTTGTTTTTATATCATTTTTAAACTTTTAAAAAACTAAAACTGGATAATTAAAAATACAAAAAAGTTGTTTTGTCTTTTTTTTACTTATTTTTAAACTTAAACAAAAATAATGAAAACAATTTAAACTAAAAAATAATTTTGAATTGAATAAGATTCTTTTTCTTATTTTTTTAATTAGTTACAGTGAAGATGGGCCAACATGTTTACATACTTACATAATTGTTAATTATGTAAGTCAACAAAATAAAGTCAAAATATTGTTCAAATATGACTTTATTATTTTTACTTTGATC